CAGTGCACCGCTTGGGAGCGCAGCAGCACTCCCGCTGAGGGTTCCGATCCCACATACAGACCAGCCGCTCACTGGCTGAGCTAGGTGTGGGCACGACACTGAGGGTTGCGATCCGTTGCCGGTCACAAAAAAAGACAAAAAGGAAAAAAAAATGTTACCTTTGAGGCAAAAATAAATTAAAGGAAATAAGAATTCATATTCATATTTGCGTAAAGAATAATTCTGGAAAAATACACTAGAAACTAAAAACATTGACTATCTACTGGGAAGTAGGAGCTGGACAGAGGGAAGAAGCCCGGTAGACAGACTTTTTGTTTTGTATACTTTTATATATCTTTTTGTTACTATTACCATATTATTACCTACCCCAAAATAGAATTCAAATAAGGATATGCAAGGAAAAAGAAGAGAACAGGTAACCAAGTTTAAGGTCATCATTAGAAAGTATAGAAGGAGAAACTATGGGCAAAGTACTGATTAAAACAGCCAAAGAGAACTACAAATGTGGATTTTAAATATACACTATGATTCAGTTTTTCTCACCCTTACTGATACAGCACCACTGCTGCTGCGCTCAAGGAGCATAGGGAAAGTTGAATGGAAATCAGAAATTTTAAAAATGACAAGAAGAGGGAAGATATCCATAGAAGCAGAGAAGATATCTTTTTGGTATGATGGAAAGAACACAGGCTTTAGAATAAAATCTAAGAAATACTGTTGCCATTTACTAGCTGTATATCCTTAGATAAATAATTTCTTCTAGACTCTCAGTGCATTATCTCTAAATTGCCTAAGTCATTGAATTCTAAGTCAGTTTAGAAAGATAAATTATCAGAGCATGAAAATTAATTTAAATAAAATCCCAGTACTATAGTTAAATATTGAATCTTAACTTATGGGGAAAGGAATTTATGTGGAACACCACACTCTACCCATTCTGAAGAACTGAGGAGTTATCGGACCCATGAAGTGGGTGGTATTTTGGGAGGGTGGTAGAGAGTAAGGTTAGAGCAAGAGGTATGTATATTGGGGGGCGGAGGTATCTGTGTCTTTTAGAGCAAAGGGGTTGTTTAAGAAACACTGACAATGGGGGAAATTTAGAGGTCACCCTTTTTGATCTTAAATCCCTACCTGAAACAAGGCAGTTTCTTTTAGTGATCCCAACATACATCATGTGCCTTCTGCTCTCAACCTGTTTGCCCATATGGCCTATTTTATTTTTAACCTACTGGAATATCCTCTCTCTTCTTCATCCAAAGCATAAAAATCTGTTAAGGATTTACACAAGATCCACGTACTTGATATCTACTTTCACAGTTTCAACACATCCTGAATTCTTTCATTTCTGGGATGAATTTCCCATATACTTTTTTAATCATTTAGATGAAATGAGAGTATTTTTTTCCCACAATATTTATAAAAAACCTTATTTATTTATTTATTTATTTATTTAATTTTATTTTATTTTTGTCCTTTTTGAGACCGGTCGCACCGCGCTCAGCCAGTGAGCGCTGTGAGCGCACCA